GGCTTTCTCCTCTGTCACCGTGACTCTAGTTCTTCATGAAGGGTCGAGATGTGTCCTCTTACAGTCTCCTCTTCTCCTTCTCTTTTCTTTTCTTGTTACTCTCGCGGCTGCTTCCTGAAGTCTCAGCAAAGGAAGAGGGGATTTGGGGTGTGTGTGTGTGTGTGTGTGTGTGTGTGTGTGTGTGTGTGTGTGTGTGTGTGTGTGTACTTCTGCTTTTCTGTAGCTTTCCTCCTTTCCTTCCTTCCTTTTCTTTTTCTTTTCCTCTTTCTTTCTTTCCCTCTTTCTCTTTTCTTTTTCAAGTCTATCAAATTTCCCAGAAGCTTCTGGTTCTGTTGGGCCCCAGCAACCTTAAGAATTGAATTCCAGGCTCTTCTTTACCATCCCTTGCAACATATTCCTGCGATGGATCCTTTGTGGTCAAGTTCCTCCCTAGTACATTTCGTTTCAGTGCAAACCCATTGTTTCCCACCTCCGATATCAGCTCCAAGGGCTACATCGACGGCCTTGAGATCTCAGTAGGAACGGAATTGGTTCCAGGAAGGCCAAACAAGGGGCAGTCTCCGTCTGTGCTGACATGACCTCACTTGTGACATTTAATGCACCTTACATTTTGAACCCGAATGCCAAAGGGCTGATCTCTGATGTCCATGTCATCTTGGACTTATTTTTCTCTTGGAGATCTTTTCTGCCACTCACATTTGTGATAGGTCTCTCCTTCCTTTTCTTCTCTTTGTTTTCTTCTTTAATTCCTGCTGAGGCCTCATACATGACACTCAGGCCATTTACATGCTCATCTCCCACAAGCAATCTGTCATCCTGTGACTCCTGTCATCCTGTGACTGACTCCTGTGACTGATTCTTGTCGTACTGTGACTCTTGTTCTTTAAGGTACCGCTACATTAATTTTTCTTGTTTCTTTTTGTCATGTGATGTCTTCTGTTCTGCCAGCCCATGATGTATTGACCCAACATAAGGACCACACCACCTTCTTGATGTTGGATTTGGATAGAGGGTAAACGTCCTTTTTACACATGAAATGGGTGAATGATTTCCCTGTTTTGGAATCCAAGGTAGGGAAGCCAGCTTATAGGTTTGTGAGGGATGTAAACACACCCAGGGCACCATGAACTGATTTTCAAATGTGAAATGTTTCAAATGGTGAACACCCTGGGGTCAACCCCACTTGAATGTGGTGTATAAGTCTTTTTGTATGTAACTGGATTCATAACACTTTAAAAATGTTTTAGAGCCGGGCGGTGGTGGCGCACGCCTTTAATCCCAGCACTCGGGAGGCAGAGCCAGGTGGATCTCTGTGAGTTCGAGGCCAGCCTGGACTACCAAGTGAGTCCCAGGAAAGGCGCAAAGCTACACAGAGAAACCCTGTCTCGAAAAACCAAAAAAAAAAAAAAAAAAAAAAATGTTTTAGATTTATTTATTTATTTTTGCATGTATAAGCATGTGTACATGACAGAATGTTGTGGCATGTATGTGGAGGTCAGAGGTCAGCTTGTGAGAGATGGTTCTCTACTTCTACAATGTGGTTTCCAGGAATTGAATCCAAGTTGTCATTCCTGATAGCAAGTACACTTACCCTCTGAACCATTTTGCTGGCACAAAATAATCTAGATTCAAGTTACTAATATTTAGCTGAGGGATTTTTCTTGCCTCTCCCCGCCAGCTGTATTGACCCATCATAAGGCCCACACCAGCATATTTAATCATCATTCTTCATAAGAGATACTGATCTGTAGTTCTCTTTCTTTGGTGCTTTTGTCTGGTTTGGGTATTAGTGTGATGCTGGCCTTGCAGAATGGGTGAAGATGTGTTCTTTCTTCTGACTGGGACTGGAGAAAATCAGTATATTCTCATCCTTAAGTGTTTGCGAGAACTTCCTGAGAATCCATCACTCTGGGCTTGCTACTTCGTTTTGGAATGTTGTTATTTATTACTTATGGTTATTTATTATTTATTATGTATATTGGCTTACTCTGCTTTCTTGTTTCTTCTCATAAGGTGTGCATTTTGGCACATTGTATCTTTCAAGGAACTGACCCATTTTTTTTCTGTCCCCCCCTCCCCCC